ATAGCGGAGAAGGTACGGTGGGAATCGAAATGGTCGGTGATCTGTTTGTTAACTTGGCTTTCAAATACTTTCCAAAGGCAGGGCAGGATGGATATAGTACTGTAACAGTTTGGATCTAGAGTGTCACCCCCTTTGAAGAGGGGGATGACCGCGGCAGCTTTCCAATCTCTGGGGATCTCAGACGATACGAAAGAGAGGTTGAACAGGCTAGTAATAGGTGTTGCGACAATTTCAGCAGCAAATTTTTAGAAAGAAAGGGTCCAGATTGTCTAGCCCAGCTGATTTGTAGGGGTCCAGATTTAGCAGCTCTTTCAGGACATCAGCTATCTGAATTTGGGTGAAGGAGAAGCGGGGGGGGGGGGTGCATGGGCAAGTTGCAGCGGAGGGTGCAGAGCTGGTGGCCGGGGTAGGGGAAGCCAGGTGGAAAGTATGGCCAGCCGTAGCAAAATGCTTATTGAAATTCTTGATTATCGTAGATTTATCGGTGGTGACAGTGTTTCCTAGCCTCAGTGCAGTGGGTAGCTGGGAGGAAGTGCTCTTATTCTCCATGGACTTTACAGTGTCCCAAAACTTTTTTTGTAGTTAGTGCTACAGGATGCACATTTCTGTTTGAAAAAGCTAGCCTTTGCTTTCCTAACTGATTGTGTATATTGGTTCCTGACTTCCCTGAAAAGTTGCATATCGCGGGGGCTGTTCGATGCTAATGCAGTACGCCACAGGATGTTTTTGTGCTGGTCAAGGGCAGTCAAATCTGGGGTGAACCAGGGGCTATATCTGTTCTTAGTTCTGAATTTTTTGAATGGAGCATGCTTATTTAAGATGGAGAGGAAAGCACTTTTGAAGAACATCCAGGCATCCTCTACTGACGGAATGAGGTCAATATCCATCCAGGATACCAGGGCCAGGTCAATTAGAAAGGCCTGCTCGCTGAAGTGTTTTAGGGAGCGTTTGACAGGGATGAGGGGTGGTCGTTTGACCGCGGACCCATTACGGACGCAGGCAATGAGGCAGTGATCGCTTCCCTCTACACTCAACTTCTTCTCAACAATCATCACTGCACCTGCCACCACATCTAATTCATCCTCACTCTCATCATTCTCAATTTCCTCAAATTCTTCTAAAGGTTCTGTGAAATTCCATATTCCCTCATAACCATTTCCACTGTTCTCGCCCCACTCCATGTTTATTCATAATATGCTCCACTGTCTTTCTTATTTCTTTTTCCGCCATCTTCTCCAATCGCTCCCGTTCTCCAAACATTTCTCCCTGTGCAACCCACCATCACCCTTTGCACGCTACTGACATCTTAATCCCACTCCACCCTTGTACTTGATTGATGAATAATGGTCACTAATTAGTAAGGCACTACCCTTACTTGGTTGTCTAGGTCAGTGGTTCCCAAACTTTTTCGGCTACTGTACCACCAACTGTATTCTGTTCTGCCCGCAGTACCCCTTAAGTACCCCCTCATGTGCATTTGTATCAGTAAGCCTATGGTCTCATGAGTCTTCTCAAGTACCCCCTATGGATAGGCCAAGTACCCCCAGGGCTCCTAGTACCCCTGGTTGGGAACCACTATCTAGGTCTTAATTGTAAAGAAACAACTACAACCTGCAGACACTCGGCCCTCCTTGGAATGAGTTTGACACCCCTGAGTTAAGTGAACTGAAGGACTGTTATATGGCCTTGGCAGTCCTGATGCTTTGTGACCCAGTTCATTAGCCTACAGACTGGAAATATCACCAGTTATCCAGGGATTACCAAGAGCACAGACCCAGACACTATAAGTGCCCTAATGACTTCAACCTCCCTACGTCTACCTTTGACTCATTTCTCTCTGCCTCCTTCTTTCCACTCCTCTCCTCTTTTGACCTCACCCTCTCACCGTCCCCCCCCCCCCCCCCCCCCCCCCCTACTCACAAGGCAGGCAATACGCTTGACCTCATCTTTACTAGATGCTGTTCTTCTACTAATCTCACTGCAACTACCCTCCAAGTCTCCGACCACTACTTTGTATCCTTTTCTCTCTCGCTCTCCTCCAACACTACTCACTCTGCCCCTACTCAGATGGTAATGCGCCATCGCAACCTTCGCTCTCTCTCTCCTGCTACTCTCTCCTCTTCCATCTTATCATCTCTTCTCTCTGCTCAATCCTTCTCCCTCCAATCTCCTGATTCTGCCTCCTCAACCCTCCTCTCCTCCCTTTCTGCATCCTTTGACTCTCTATGTCCCCTATCCTCCCGGCCGGCTCGGTCCTCCCCTCCTGCTCCGTGGCTTGATGACTCATTGCGAACTCACAGAACAGGGCTCCGGGCAGCCGAGCGGAAATGGAGGAAAACTAGACTCCCTGCGGACCTGGCATCTTTTCACTCACTCCTATCTACATTTTCTTCATCTGTTTCTGCTGCTAAAGCCACTTTCTACCACTCTAAATTCCAAGCATCTGTCTCTAACCCTAGGAAGCTCTTTGCCACCTTCTCCTCCCTGCTGAATCCTCCTCCCCCTCCCCCCCATCCTCCCTCTCTGTGGATGACTTCGTCAACCATTTTGAAAAGAAGGTTGACGACATCCGATCCTCGTTTGTTAAGCCAAATTACACTGCTGGTCCTGCTCACACTGCCCTACCCTATGCTTTGACTTCTTTCTCCCCTCTCTCTCCAGATAAAATCTTGCGACTTGTGACGGCCGGCCGCCCAACAACCTGCCCGCTTGACCCTATCCCCTCCTCTCTTCTCCAGACCATCTCCGGTGACCTTCTCCCTTACCTCACCTCGCTCATCAACTCATCCTTGACCGCTGGCTATGTCCCTTCCGTCTTCAAGAGAGCGAGAGTTGCACCCCAAACCAACACTCGATCCCTCTGATGTCAACAACTACAGACCAGTATCCCTTCTTTCTTTTCTCTCCAAAACTCTTGAGCGTGCCGTCTTTAGCCAACTCTCTTGCTATCTCTCTCAGAATGACCTTCTTGATCCAAACCAGTCAGGTTTCAAGACTGGTCATTCAACTGAGACTGCTCTTCTCTGTGTCACGGAGGCTCTCCGCACTGCTAAAGCTAACTCTCTCTCCTCTGCTCTTGTCCTTCTAGACCTGTCTGCTGCCTTTGATACTGTGAACCATCAGATCCTCCTCTCCACCCTCTCCGAGCTGGGCATCTCCGGTGCGGCTCACTCTTGGATTGCGTCCTACCTGACCGGTCGCTCCTACCAAGTGGCGTGGCGAGAATCTGTCTCCGCACCACGTGCTCTCACCACTGGTGTCCCCCAGGGCTCAGTTCTAGGCCCTCTCCTATTCTCGCTATACACCAAGTCACTTGGCTCTCTCATATCCTCACATGGCCTCTCCTATCATTGCTACGCAGACGACACACAACTAATCTTCTCCTTTCCCCCTTCTGATAACCAGGTGGCGAATCGCATCTCTGCATGTCTGGCAGACAGATCAGTGTGGATGACGGATCACCACCTCAAGCTGAACCTCTGCAAGACGGAGCTGCTCTTCCTCCCGGGGAAGGACTGCCCATTCCATGATCTCGCCATCACGGATGACAACTCTGTTGTGTCCTCCTCCCAGAGTGCGAAGAGCCTTGGCGTGACCCTGGACAACACCCTATCGTTCTCCGCTAACATCAAGGCGGTGACCCGATCCTGTAGGTTCATGCTCTACACCATTCGGAGAGTACGACCCTGCCTTACACAGGAAGCGGCACAGGTCCTAATCCAGGCACTTGTCATCTCCCGTCTGGATTACTGCAACTCGCTGTTGGCTGGGCTCCCTGCCTGTGCCATTAAACCCCTACAACTCATCCAGAATGACGCAGCCCGTCTGGTGTTCAACCTTCCCAAGTTCTCTCACGTCACCCCGCTCCTCCGCACACTCCACTGGCTTCCAGTTGAAGCTCGCATCTGCTACAAGACCATGGTGCTTGCCGACGGAGCTGTGAGGGGAACGGCACCTCCGTACCTTCAGGCTCTGATCAGTCCCTACACCCAAACGAGGGCATTGCGTTCATCCACCTCTGGCCTGCTGGCCCCCCTACCTCTGCGGAAGCACAGTTCCCGCTCAGCCCAGTCAAAACTGTTCACTGCTCTGGCACCCCAATGGTGGAACAAGCTCCCCCACGACGCCAGGACAGCGGAGTCACTCACCACCTTCCGGAGACACTTGAAACCCCACCTCTTTAAGGAATACCTGGGATAGGATAAAGTAATCCTTCTACCCCCCCTTACCCCACCCCCAAAAAATAAAATAAATAAAAACATATTGTAAAGTGGTTATCCCACTGGCTATAAGGTGAATGCACCAATTTGTAAGTCGCTCTGGATAAGAGCGTCTGCTAAATGACGTAAATGTAATGTAAAATGTAAATGTTTTACATGGAGAATATGCTTAAAGTAAAAGCGCCACAGGCTAATTATTCTATAAATCCATCATCATCAGTATCATTAAATGTCGTCTCGTCTCAATAAGGTGTGATAACTGATATGGTTCCGATAAATAGTCTACCTTTATTTATCAGACCCACGTAGGCTATATTCTCTCTTCAAAAGGGACTTCGAAACTTTCCTGTCGAGACTAATAGACACTCACAGGCATACCAATCAATTCTCGAGCGACCAACAGAGGCAGCATGCGGCCATCCGCAGACAGAGCAGGTGCTCCCCAGCCTCCCCTGAAATAACCCTGATGCTTCGGTCCTCCTCCCTCCGTCAACCCCCTCCCTCCCTCGCAGCCGACTCAAAATAACGTATTCTCGTGTCCTGCTGGCGACTAGGGGAAGAAGAATGGTTTACGAGAGTACCATTGCGCGTGGAGACCTCTCTTCTCTTCCTGCTACGATAGCCCCGAAGGAAGGATTCCCGTTTATATAAATCGAGTAAAAGTGATGCCGAAGACTATGGGCTCTGTCTCCAGCGCTCTGTTTCTTTCCGTTCTGTCAATGCAGTGGGTGTAGACGATGTGGACTTGATAGTGATGCGCAGCCAACAACAACAAAAAATATGAAATGCTTCTCCCGGTACCTTCCTTACCTCTTCAGACCCTCAAGCACCATCCTCTCCTCCAGCTGTCACACTGAAGGTAGGCTACGGACTTATGATGTTATTGCGCGCGCGCGTATGCGTACGTATGTATCTGTGTGTGTGTTTGTGGGCACTGGGCAGCCAGCAGCAGGTTAGGTCCGGTCGGGAGACATCTATTTATAGAGAGAGAGGAGTCTGGAAATGTAATGGAACGGAACAGAACAGCGGACTGGCTCGTCTCACTCACATCACCCTGCTCTCCTCCCGTTTCTAAGGCGAAACAGCCATAGTCAGGTTTGACATTTCAGACGGTGTCGGGAGGGACCACTCTGGAGTTGGCTCAACTTGGCTGGGTTTCCTTTGTAGGCCTATTTGCATAATTAATGTCTGCACCTGTCGGTGTAAATTGTAGGAACTTTCAAGACATGACATTCCACCTTTTCCCTCAGCCAAAGCTGAATAGAATAGACTACTCTGGTGACAATTATAAGCTGCCTGCAACACTGTATGCTGTTCAAAAGAAAAGAGAGAAAAGTGTGTCAGCCTTTCTGTCAGTTCAACCACGGTGGTCAATTGTTTTGATTATTTTACCAAGTAAGTTGACTGAGAACACGTTCTCATTTACAGCAACGACCTGGGGAATATTTAAGGATGGGGGATAAATGAGCCAATTGGAAGCTGGGTATGATTAGGTGGCCATGGGGCCCGATTGGGAATTTAGCCAGGACACCGGGGTTAACACCCCTACTCTTACAAAAAGTGCCATGAGATCTTTTAGTGACCACAAAGACTGAGGACACCCGTTTAACATCCCATCCAAAAGACAGCACACTAAACAAGGCCCCCCCCCCCCAAATTGTAAAGTGGTTATCCCACTGGCTATAGGGTGAACGCACCAATTTGTGAGTCGCTCTGGCTAAGAGCGTCTGCTAAATGACGTTAATGTGCCCTTGAGCAAGGCACTTAACCCTAATTGCTCCTGTAAGTCGCTCTGGTTAAGAGCGTCTGCTAAATGACTAAAATGTAAATGTAAAGGCTCTGTCCCCACTCACTGCGCTGTGGCATTGGGATCTTTTTTTAGACCAGAGGAAAGAGTGCTTCCTACTGGCCCTCCAACACCACTTCCAGCAGCATCTGGTCTCCCATCCAAGGACTGACCCTGTTTAGCTTCAGTGGTAAACCAGCAGTGGGATGCAGGGTGGTATGCTGCTGACCAAGGACATGTCACCTGTCCATAACAACCAAAACAACGTTATGTAAGGCTTCATAAGAGCCCATTAGGTTAAGTTTATGATTAACTTAATGCATTATTATTAAGTTATTATTATTAAGTAATTACGTTTATTGACATAGAATGTCTCAATAACATCCCACAGGGCACAAAATGGTTGAACTCATCAACTTAAACTGTTGTTTTGAGTGCAATTTCTCAGGATTATGTCATCATTGTAACCAACTGTCATCATAGACAAACCTTGTATAAAATACAGTTGAATTTGTACTTTTGAAACAACTTCGGATCTTCAACATTATATGCACTATCAGATAAAACAAACAATAGGCTGGGCAGCACTTCCTACTGGAGAGTTGATCTACAACTATTTATTTATTAGGTCCAGGGTTTTAACCAAGCCCTGCTTAGCTTTTATATTTGTCACTGACTACTACCAATGTGCTATCGTGGGAATTATTATTAAGAGATGTCTTAATAACTAAATATATTCACTGTTGTATCGAAGTCATTCTAAAGGGCAGGTTTAACAACGCAAATTAAATGTAACCATACTTTATAAGTCATATATCATCAATGATACTATTTAGGCCTACATAGCATTTGCAAAGTCATCCAAGGGTTCAACAAAAAAAATAGACAATACATATAGACCTAGGGTTTCATGCTTTGGTTGATTTCAAATGTAATCTTCAAGTTAATCATTAATACTGTATGTTGGATTCATGTGTCCTTCTCAACCAAAGATCTTAGTTAAAGAATAGGACTAAATCAAAGCAAACTTTATTTAAAGTGCATTTAAAGTTTGATAAGATTAGATATAGTGCTATTCTTTAACTTTTTGGTTGAGATGGAGACGTGAATCCAACATATCAATTATGAATTTGTAGACAAACTGGATATGGAATTGTGTTTGGTTGTCAACGCAACCTAATATCAACATTTGAAGGAGATCTAATGCTTGGATAGTTCCATCTGTGCCACTGACTTAGGCTGGCTTTAATTCCAGCGGCAATATTGCAAATAGCTTATTGAAGGGGTGCCTCAGAATGGCAGATGTGTTGTGGTTGGTAGCCATGGATGGGGGCTGGAGGTTGTCTAGTAGTCTTGCTGTTGTTGTTGATCTATTGAGGGGATCTTTCCGTGTGACTAGAAAATGTGTTCAGCCTCATTGTAAAACAGCTCATCACTTGTATATTAGGCACCCTACAGGACTATCGGCTATTTGCATTTAATTATTCACCAGAGGCTCTCAACAAAGGTTGTGCTGAAAGTATTCTCAATTTTAGCAAAGGCTCGGAAAGGAGTTTGTTGTGATTTCCATGGGCACATTGTGTAATAGTGTGGGTCTGGACTGCCTCTCCCAGGGGGCTGACGTGATCACATCTAGCTTTTGTGGAACCAGGTGGTGATATCAGTTGTGTAACCCCCTCCCCCTGTAGAGAGGAGTGCAGCTGGGCCATTTTGCCCATTTCCCCCTGGGTGGGAGGGAGCAGTGCACACACACACACACACACACACAATGTACCCCCAGGTCTCCATCAGCAGACAATGAGAAAAGGAGAGCACTCTTGCTAAGCTCCAGTTTGCCACATCACACTGTAACTGGACCCTATAGCTTTGAGGGAGGAAAGATTTCTCTTGTGGCCATCACAGCGTATCTGGGGGATGGGGGTAATGGACACAGATAACCCTCTAGGGTCGGTCATCAATAGGGCCTTAATTAGTGCCAAGGTGGGAGGTCTGGGAGAGCAGGAGGTATAACATCATGGGGTATAATATCATGGGGTACCTGAAGCGATGATATTTCTTTCTTTCTTTCTTTCTTTCTTTCTTTCTTTCTTTCTTTCTTTCTTTCTTTCTTTCTTTCTTTCTTTCTTTCTTTCTTTCTTTCTTTCTTTCTTTCTTTCTTTCTTTCTTTCTTTCTTTCTTTCTTTCTTTCTTTCTTTCTCGCTATCTTTCTTTCTCGCTATCTTTCTTTCTCTCTCTCTCTCTCTCTCTCTCTCTCTCTCTCTCTCTCTCTCTCTCTCTCTCTCTCTCTCTCTCGCTCTCTCTCTAGGATCGATGTGGTTGCTCTGGTCGGATAAAGCGGGATGGGGTGAATATTTCAGAGCCTTTGTCAATTCAGATTGCCTCAGCAGGGTGCCATCTCTCATCCTTGATTCTGAGTCCCATCTGTAGGCCTCCTCTCCCTCTCCGCCTCTCTCTCCCTCTCTGCCTCTCTCTCCCTCTCTGCCTCTGTCTCCCTCTCCCTCTATGCCTTTCGCTACCTCTCTTTGCCTCATCTCCCCCTTTCGACCTCTACCAGTCCCTCTGTTGTCAGCCTGTGTGTTGCGGCCTGCTCCTATGAGCCATGATGAGCCACTCTTCAACCTCTGGCTATTGGGTGAAGGTGATATTGGCAGCCCCTCTTTCCCCTGGGTCCAGCGGCCCAGCCACCCGGGTCTCAGTTGGACATACTGTAATAGAGGGGTAAACGCCACGTAGGAGAGCTCTGCGTCACAGATTGATCTTTCGATTGGGATTTGGTCGAAGGAGACAGGGACAGGGAGGGCTGGTGCCTGGTGTTGACAGTCCCACAGAGATAAGCTGTGTGGGGCAGCATGAGGAGAGACCACGTGCGCATCCCAAATGGCACCCTATTTCCTACATAATGCACTATTTTTTAGCAGGGCCCATATGGACTCACCCAGTAGAGGACAGACTGAGCAGTCAGGGGGGATCTGATATACAGTATACTGTATGTATGATCGTATACAGCTGCGGAAAAAATTAAGAGACCACTGCAAAATTATCAGTTTCTCTGGTTTTACTATTTATAGGTATGTGTTTGGGTAAAAATATTTTTTTTGTTTTATTCTATAAACTACTGACAACATTTCTCCCAAATTCCAAATAAAAATATTTGTCACGGATGCCGCCGAGGCTGCTCCTCCTCCTTGCTCGGGCAGGCTTCGGCGTTCGTCGTCCCCGGAGTACTAGCTACTACCGTTTGATGTTTTCGATGTTTGTTTTGTCATGTCTAGTTAGTGCACCTGTTTCGTATTCTGTATTGATTGTGTCACCTATAAGTTCCCCTATGTTATGTTTGTATCTTGTGTGTTATTGTTCCACCTGTCGTGTTTAGATAGGTTCGGTGCCTTGGCTCTACGTAGTTGTTTACGCACTGCGCGTAATTGTTCGCCTCCAGTGTTTTGAGGCCGTTTATTTTGTATTCTATTTTCAAGTGATACTAAAGTCGTTTTGACTAATCCTCTGTGTCCTGCGCTTGACTCTACCACCGCATCCACATCAGCACACTCTGACAATATTGTAATTTAGAGCATTTATTTGCAGAAAATGACAACTGGTCAAAATAACAAAAAAGATGCAGTGTTGTCAGACCTCGAATAATGCAAAGAAAATAAGTTCTTGTTCATTTATAAACAACACAATAGTAATGTTTTAACTTAGGAAGAGTTCAGAAATCAATATTTGGTGGAATAACCCTGATTTTCAATCACAGCTTTCATGCGTCTTGGCATGCTCTCCACCAGTCTTTCACATTGATGTTGGGTGACTTTATGCCACTCCTGGCGCAAAAATTCAAGCAGCTCGGCTTTTTTTGATGGCTTGTGACCATCCATCTTCCTCTTGATCACATTCCAGAAGTTTTCAATGGGGTTCAGGTCTGGAGATTGGGCTGGCCATGACAGGGTATTGATCTGGTGGTCCTTCATCCACACCTTGATTGACCTGGCTGTGTGGCATGGCACATTGTCCTGCTGGAAAAACCAATCCTCAGAGTTGGGGAACAATGTCAGAGCAAAAGGAAGCAAGTTTTCTTCCAGGACAACCTTGTACGTGGCTTGATTCATGCGTCCTTCACAAAGACAAATCTGCCCGATTTCAGCCTTGCTAAAGCACCCCCAGATCATCACCGATCCTCCACCAAATTTCACAGTGGGTGCGAGACACTGTGGCTTGTAGGCCTCTCCAGGTCTCCGTCTAACCATTAGACGACCAGGTGTTGGGTAAAGCTGAAAATTGGACTCATCAGAGAAGATTACCTTACTCCAGTCCTCTACGGTCCAATCCTTATGGTCTTTTGAAAACCTCAGCCTGGCTCTTCTTTGCTTCTCATTGATGAAGGGCTTTTTTCTAGCTTTGCACGACTTCAGCCCTGCCCCTAGGAGCCTGTTTCGAACCGTCCTTGCCATGCACTTCACCCCAGCTGCCGTTTGCCATTCTTTTTGTAGGTCACTTGATGTCATCCTACGGTTGTTGAGTGACATTCGAATGAGTTGGCGGTCATCCCGGTCAGTAGAGAGTCGTTTTTGCCCTCTGCCGGTCTGTAGCTTTGTTGTCCCCAATATATGCTGCTTGACCTTGTTCTTATGAACCGCCGTCTTTGAAATTTTAAGGATGGAAGCAACCTGACGCTCACTGTATCCCTCTGCCAGTAAAGCCAGAATTGAACCCTTCTTTTCCTCACTCAAAACTTTCCTTTTCAACTCTTTTGGCATGGTCAATAGTTATTTTTTGATTAATATTACTTTTGAGGTACTATTAGCACTGTTTTTGCCATCCAGCTGGTCCTATTGCAAGAGGATAGTGATGACCACAGCAGTGGTTTTTATACTTTTCCTCATTAAATAAGATTTGGTTCATGTGTTCACCTAAACAGTACCTAATTCAGTAGAATGAGGTGTGCCTGTGTTGGAATTCAACAGACACTGGAATGGAATGGCTGTCAAACATGTAGAGATGCTGATTTAAGAAACATTTGCAGTGGTCTCTTAATTTTTTCTAACAGCTGTATATGGTTGGTGGATCCAGTAAGGTGGAGAGTAGATGTGGAACATAAACTGGCTGTCATATGTGGACATGAAGCCCTCTAGATGCTGTTTTGCATGCATTATATCTATTGAAACATTTCCGTATAATTACATTGTATAGTTTTAAGTAAACTAAACTGAAGTCAAGTCTGAGAGCAGGCTGAGGTCATGTTGAAAGAGGAGAAAATTAGTGAGAAACCAGAGAGATGAAGAGGTGCTGATGATTTGGTTCTTCTATCACCAATCAAAGAAGGCCTTGAACAGAACCTGAACATTCTAGAGAAATATTGCCATATTTGGGCCTTGGACAACTTTTAACAATTTACACTAAACATTTTACAAAAACACATTTACTGGAAGAACTGTGCAGATGCAAAGTTTGGTAACAAAATCTAGGTAAAATCTCCCTCCGTTTTTTAGGTGACCATGCTTTCCCAAAACTCTTAACTCTGTTAATGAGTTCAGTACAGCACAGTACATTATAGTGTACTCCACTCTAGTGTGCTCTACTGTGTACTGTACTGAACTATACTCCATTCTACTCTACAGTACAGTAAATGACTGTACTGTACAGAACTATGCTTTTCTTTACTATTCTGTACTGTACTTTACTGTGCTCTAATATACTGTACTGAACTATACTCTACTTTTCTTTACTGTACTGTAATATACTGTACTGAACTATACTCTACTTTTCTTTACTGTACTCTACTGTACTGTACTGAGCTGGACGTCCGGTGTCAGTCGGTGCTCAGTGGGTGAGGATGTTGGTTACAGGGGGCTCATGGGTAGGTGTCAGTAAGAGCTGGGAGAGGTGACATTAATGAGAGAGAGAGAGAGAGAGGGAGAGAGAGCATAACATAACAGTATGCCAGTGGAAAGGAGGACACTAGCAGGTGACCCAACTGTGGTTTGTGACTACTATGATTTCCTATTGTAGCCAATTCAATTGCAGAAATTCCGTTACCGATTCGGTAAAGGTTTTAATCACTTATTAATTCATAAACAAAATTGATATCAGTAAAAATGAATAACTAATTGATAGGTCTACCTTTACTGGTTACTTCTGTGAACTTTCATTATCCTCCCTCATGAGGGAAAGACATTAGAAAATATCTTAAAGATTTTGGTTTTTGGTAATGGAATTTCAAGGGATAAGGCAATGTTTCTTAAACTTACAGAAGGCAGATTTTCTTTAAATATTAGTTGGCAGGGGTCTTTACTTCAACATGATTGTTTTTTGATGTTTTCTAAGAACCCTTTTCCATCTGTTTGCTGCAATTCTCCATTTTATTATTACATTTTTCTATTACTATCCACTGTTGTCATTCTATTGCTGTTATTTCTATTATTTATTTATTTTTATGATTTACTTTTGATCACTTTTATTTATCAGTTTATTACAATGTAATGTATATTGTATACATTGTGCTTTGGCAATCTTTACGCAATGTTTTTCATGCCAATAAAGCTGAATTTGAATTTGAATTTGAAGAGGTAGAAGTAGAGACAGCACCCTTTAATCACACTACACTGTGAGAAGAAGAGACAGACAGGGGAAACTGCTGTGGAAACAAACTGTGTAACCACACCATGATCGATAGCTTTACAAGAAGTGACCGTTGGCTTAATGCAGGCTTGTTTACCCTTGCTTTTCTGTCTCAGCTCCATCCGTCTCTCTCATTGGCAGCCTGTCTGTTCCAGGCTCTTATCATTTTTCGGTTTAATTTCATCATATATGACATCTCATTTATTTTTCTACTTCCCATAATGTATTTAGCCTTGAGTGTTTAAGTTATTCTGGTGGAGTGAGTGATAGCCCATATCAGAGTTTTTGAATATTATTACAATACGTTCTGTTCCCTAGATGATGAGCATGGGAAATGTTAGTTGGCGTAGCTAGCTATGATCAGAGAAAAGTTTAATTGGTTTTCTGTTTTCTATGATAAGTCATAATCAGACTGTTTTGACAGTGTAGTCACACAAGGTTGTCATACATTCTGAACCCTTGTTACTGAGGACTACATTTCTATGAAAAATGTAGTATGAGTATTTCATCTGTTTTCAAGTCTCAGATAAATAAAAGTAGTTAGTTACTCGGATACAGAAGCACCCTGATCCAATGATTACAGTGCTGAGTTTCTGAAATAACAACAGACATTTGGCAAGGTCAGATATATCGATTTTAGGAAACAAAATTGCGTAAGGTTATTAGCATATGTGATATAACCAGACTTGTTTCATGTCTGTGAAAAACATGAATATCAATCAGTTGTGTATGTGGTTTGTATATTTACACCAAAGCTTCAGCCATGTTAATCATGTGAGCCTCTCTCGAATTCTCATGTCACCTGAGCCCCAGCCTACCACCCATCTAGTCCAGCAGGCCATGCGTGCAAGTATGGGTACCTGCAGCCCAATATGGCGACCAGAGTATGGGTTAGTGGGTGTGTATAAAGGAGTGCGTGTATGGAAAGTGAATCAGCTAATTGGGCAGACTTGTTGCCACTCAAAACCATTTTGCGTGGCTGATTTGGCTGCACGACGAGTTGATAATGACTAGTTTAGTTGTGTTGTATGGAGGTACTTACCGACCTGAGGTGCTTCCCACTGGGCAGCTGTATCACAGTGTCGCCAGCAGTAGCTAACATGGCAATTCCTTCCCCCTCC